ACTCCAAGTAAAGAGGATAAAAGTAGGAGCCGCAGCAGGAGTGCAGAGAAATCCCAAAACAAAAGCAAGGATAAATCTGAGGGCATTCTCCATAACAGCGATGAGAAAGCCAAGAGCAGGAGCCGCAGCAAGGAAAAGAGCAGGAGCAGGAGTGAGAGTAAGGACAGGGGAGAGGCGAGGGAGAGCATGAGGAGCAGAAGCAAGGACAAGAGTAGAAGCAAAGACAGGGAGAAGAGCATTAGCAAGGCTAGAAGCAGGAGCAAAAGCAGGGATGAGAGTAGGAGCAGGAGCCACAGCAAGGATAAAAGAAAAAGTAGGAAGAGGAGCAGGGATGACAGCAGAAGTAGAAGCCGGAGCCACAGCAAGAGTGAGAAAAGCAAGAGGCGCAGCAAGCGGGACAGCAAAGGCAGCAGCAGGAAGAGAAGGAAGGACAGCCACGAGCGGTCCAGGTCAGGCTCCAAAGAAAAGGAGCAGCTCAAATCTGAGTCAGACAAGAAGGAGGTGAAAGGCGAGGGGGAGGATGCAGTGTCCCGCTCCAGGTCTAGGTCCATTTCCAAGTCCAAACAAAATGTCAAATCAGATTCTCGTTCCAGGTCCAAATCTGTTTCAAAGCCACGGTCCCAGTCCAAGTCCAGGTCTAGGTCTGCCTCTAGGTCACACTCCCGGTCGCGGTCAAGGTCCCGCTCCAGATCCTAACCTTGCTGCAACCCCACTTGGAATGGTTGGAAAAGTCTTTTGTACATGTTTAGTAGCTGTAACCAAGTGATTGAAGTAGAAACCCTGTTGATGCTATGTATTTTTAACAAGCTGATGGTCTGTCTGTCATTAACTGCAGCGCTCTCTCCCTGCAGTGCTCTCTGCTGTGAGGCTGCTCCGCTCATTTTCTATCCAGTAGAAAGGTTCTCTTTACACACAGCTCTTCCTCGAGCCCCCACATTGCCCTGTTTTCCAGGGAGAGTCTTGAAGGGAGTGAGCACTGCCCTGGTGGGTTTATGGGATTGCAGTGATGACTGATAGGTAGGTATGATGGATTCAACAGTCTTTGCCCTCGATTGATGCCCTTTGATGTCTGCCATTTAGTGGAAGTGCTAAGTCTTAAGTTTCATACTACTTTTGTTCATATTTTTTGGACTTACAGAGTTGTGAATAGCACAGTCAAAAGGAAAAAAAAAATAGAGGTACTTGCAGTAATCTATAGGGAAAAGAACTATAGCTCCATATTCTGGTATTGTGACAATATCCTTGTTTTATATTAAATTTTTTTATTTTATTTTTCCCTGTCTTGCAAAGTACAGTGATCCCCATTTCCATGAAATTTGAATAAAGACTATTTTTGCTTGATGACATTTGGTTACATGGTGCTGTGTTGTGATTGTCAGCATTTTCTATTGATCAATGTAAGCCTGAATTTGTAGAGTCAATCACAGAGAAAAGGTTCTTAAATCAGAAAGTCACTTCACATTCAGTGTAGGCACAACACTTGAATACAGTCCAGATAAAGAACTTATTTCTCCAGCATATTTTCCAGGAGTTTTTCCTTCTAATAAAACACCTTCTCCCAAAAGAAAGGAAAAATCTCAGGATGTGCTTCTGGGCTTGGAAGCACAGAAGGTGGTGGCTGTTCTGTGGCATGTCCCCAGCATCCCTGGGGACCTGGGGAGAAGGGAGGGCAGCTTCTAGCAAGAGTTTTGTAGGTGTGTAGGTGTTCCTGAATAATATCCCAAATTTAGACTTGGGCCATTTGCAAATTACTCAGACTGAACTTCCCACAAGCTCTTCTCCTGCACAATTGGCTTTGAATGAAGTGACATCCCCAGCACCTGTTCTGCCTGCAAGCAGCATTCTGAAAAATAGAAGGCAAAATGTATTTTGTGAATTCTTGCTCTGGAATAAAAAGGTTGGTCACAGCTTCCCCTAAAACTGACCTTTAGCCAATTCCAAACTGTTCTCAACTGATGGCAGTGGCTCTCCAGTGAGACTCACTTCATAGGTGCAGTAATTCCATATAATTTGATCATTTGGGACTTGTCCTGCCATATTAAAAAGATGAAGGGGTAATAGATCATCAGAATTGCTTTCAACACAAAATATCTCCCCCCCTTTTGAGAGGGGTCAGGGCTTGGCGAGCGACTCAGACTTTATCAAATGTCATTACCACGGCAGCATGAGAAATCTCTCTGGAAGTGATATTTTTTTTCTTCAGAAGGAAAAGCCTTTTCCAGCTATATATATTTAGTGCTTTAACATCTTATACTCTCAAAATGACATTTTTAATCCTTTTTGCTGCTTAATCTTAGTACAGAAGCAAACCAGCCAAGGCAAGATGTTTGCTAATAAGGGATAATTAACCAAAAAATACTTTTAAGAAAATCTGCAAATTTTACAGTCTAGGCAAAGACTAAAACGTGACTCCAGTTTCTGCTGCCTGGCAGCTCTGTTCCTAATGACCAAGCCAGGTTTTAGAGAGCCCTTGGGGAGATGCACCCATTCCTTAAATACCTGAGGGAGGCAGCAGGTGTGAAGCCAGGGCAGTGGTAATACTATAAAATATTAATGATAATAATTACATTACACGGTCAGGAAGATCAGAGAAATGTCTGCAATAATTCTGCAATATTCCCAAGTAACTTTTCTGTGTGAATAATTAAATACAAAGTGAGCTTTAGGCTAGAAGTATCTACCCAGAATGCACTGAACAAACCAGCCCCAAATGTGGTTTAGGGTTGGGGTACCTGGTGATCTCTGAGGAGAGAGGCAGGAATGCATGTGGTGGGCACGGGGCAGGTTCTGGCAAAACAAACAGCAGAGCAGCATGATAAAAGGGCAAGAAGCCCCAGAGTAGGGATCTCTCAACAAAACTTACAACAATTAAAATCAAATTAAGAGTCTAAATAAATATGGACGGTTCAATTGCTTGTAAATTTTTTTTGCTCCAACACCCCTGTAAACCTGGACCCACTGAATGCTTCGACACTGGCTACAAGCACCTGCAGGATTTGTGTTTTAGCTGGAACTTGCTGGCACAGATGAGGTGAGAAATGTATTTGTTTTCTGACTGAATTTAAAGATTCTAAAGGTTATTTTATGTGCTTTGCTCAAGGGATGAAGAATATTGTGATGTGTATTTCAAATGAGCCATTGCAAATCTCATTTATTATTTTCCCAAAATCCCATTCCATTTAAGCTGTCACAGCTTGGGGCCTCCTTGTGCTCTTTCCTTGCTCACCGTGGTGGAAAACCCCCGACGTGTCATTAAAAAATCCTACACCCACCTCTCTTATTGTTCCAAAATTCAAATACAAAGGAAAGTAACAGTCCCAGATGAAAAGACAAACAAGTTTAACAAATGCAGAGAAGAGGGAGCAATATCCTCCATCACTGCTGGGCGTGGGAGGCAGCAGGGCACTGTGGCCGTGGTTTGCTGGATGCTGTCAGCAATGGGCATTTACAGCTCCCCAAATCCCCATCTCAGCCGGGAACGTGTCCCGGTGCCCCGGCCGTGCCCAGGCTTCACCCTGGAGCAGCAGCACAGTGGGGTGACACTGTGACATCCTGACAGCCACACTGCCCCTCCAGTGCCCCCAGTGCCCCTCCAGTGCCCCCAGTGCCCCTCCAGTGCCCCTCCAGTGCCCCCACACTGCCCCTCCAGTGTCCCCAGTGCCCCTCCAGCGCCCCCAGTGCCCCTCCAGTGCCCCCAGCCAGCCCCCAGCCCGC